GGACAGCATAGAATGAGGCACACAGCTACTCCCGAGCCAAGCAGCCCAGACAGTGTCACAAGCACACAGCCGGGGCCTGCACAAGTGAGTACGGAAAGGGGTTTCCAGGTGGGATGGCAGGAAAAAGGGAAGGGCATTGTCTGGACCCGGAGGAGAGTCGCACAGGCTCCGGGGGTCCAGGAGGGAAAAGCCAATGGTGCTCATGGAAATAAATCATGCCTACACCGGGGAGAAGGCTGGCAGCTAAGGCAGGAAGAGGCAAGACCGAGCAAGGGCTGTCTTAGAATTGGGCCTTAGGCACGTTTGAAGGAGGAAGAAAAGCAGCCAGGGGATTGGAAGAGATGGAGGTTTCTGGAGAAGTCTTGGTGCCCGTGAGACCAGCCACCACCTCCAAGCCACTGAGCTGAGCTTGATGCCCCTTCTCGCCCCCCCACCCCCCCAATTTCCCTACAGTCTGTGCTTTCCCCTACCTCCTGGCCTTCACCGCCGACTCCATGGAGATCCGCCTGGTAGTGAACGGCAACCTGGTCCACACTGCAGTCGTGCCTCAGTTGCAGCTCGTGGCCTCCAGGGTGAGTACAAGTGGGGTTTCGTTTCTGTCTCAGGAGCCCGGGAGCTCCAAGCACCAGAGAGTTCAGGCCAGCCCTGAACTTGCATCTCACGGAGTCAGACGGTGTCAAAGTGCCCACAGTGAGACGGGCGGGCTGCAAACAGCCTGCCTGAGTTTTCTTGTGGGGCCTGCTGGGGCTTCCAGGGGCTCCCCGTTGGGTTTCGTCAATCGAGGCATTCGGGGTGCTGGCAGTCGGAGCCCTCCGCTGGAAAGCGGACCCTTCCACCAGAGTTCATGTTCCTCTGGCCCCAAGGACATTCCAAGTCCGTCAGAGTAAGAATTGGCAGGAAATGAAAGTTCTTTAAAAATTACCTTTCAAAAAAGGAAAGAATCGAAAGGAGGATTAAGACAGTAAAGAATCTGCAGCGCTCACAATGCCTCTTGCCTCCTTTGCTGAGGCCAGACGCTGTTTCAGGGCGTCTCTCATGAAATGCCACCTAGTTGGCAGATCCCTACCTAATGACACCGATTTTAAGCAACATCAAGACATGCCAGGAGAGATAGGCCTTCCCAAGGTGTCTTCCGGCACTGCTGCATGATCCAAAGGTCTCGCTCTAGTCACCTGCCCTGAGTCCGCCCTGGCGAATCCTCCTCTCTGGCCCTGCCAGATTGGACTGGCCCCCAGCTGCCCCCTCGAACGGAGACACATCCTCAGTCCTGACCTTGTCAATCACCTCTGGTGGTGACTGCTCACTTGTCAGCCTTCCCTCCCACACTGACAGTCTGCCAGGGCACAGCCTGCGCTGCCCTGCTCTTGCCCAGCCCCGCTGCTGGGCTGCCCAGGGTTCACCTGCAGCTCTCCAAAACTGGGGTACAACACACCTTCACGGAGTATAAACTTCACTGATACAGGAGCTGTGCTGCTCACAACTTACAAGTAATAATAACATCTGCAATGGCTTTTATCAGAAAATCCATCGAGTCAAATGGTTCTCACGGAAGGCCTGTGTGAATTTTCGCTGAACTCATATCTACAGCCAACCTACGGTCACAGTTCAACAATAACGTACCATTGGAGTTGCAGCGCCATCCACTCGTTCTTTCTCCAATTAGTTAATTGTCATTAAGTCTGATATGAAAACTACTCGTAAACCATTTCTTGCCCTTGTACAAGTCAGACACATGAAACGGAAACTTCTTTCCGCTTCAGTACTGGACTCAGCTGACCTTGACATTGTGTTGGATGTGATTGAGTCTATTTTGACTCATAGCAAGCCGCTGACAGAGAGAACTGCCCAGGAGGGTTTTCACAATCTTTATGGGAGATCACCGGGTTTTACTCCCAGAGTGCAGTTGGGGAGTTCAAACCTCCACCCTTGTGGCCGGCAGCTGTGTGCTTACACATGGCTCTGGATGTCTTGATGCTGAAGCTTCCTTAGATTGTCGCCCTGGCTTTCTTGAGTCTCAACAATCAACAAAGCAGAAAACTAGATTTGCAGTATTGGCCGTTGCCCTGGTGTGAGCGTCCCACCACAACTGCTTGTAAGTTGCCAGTGTGATGCCACAGCGCCCAGAGTTCCGGAGAGGCGCCCAGCAGCCTCCACTAGACAGTTCTTGCTCCTCACAGATACCGTGGGCGTACATAACTGCAAGAGCGTAGATCATCGTAAAATGGAAAATAGTGAAAAAGTGATCGATGTTACGTTATGACTGTTTTAGTATAATTCATTAAAGTTTTTGTAATTGAATAATAACCATGTTGAACCTTCAGCTTGAAGAAGTCCTAGAACTCCACTCGGTATAAAAACGTGAGCTCTGGCAGACTGCGGTGGTTGCCCCCAAAGCCAGCACACTATTATTACAGTAGTGTACAGGAGTGTCCCCCCAACCTGAGTGTGAATGATCACGTTCCCCAACTGGAAAATGGGCATGACTGATTCCCCAAAAGCCCTTCCAATTCTAACAGTCCAGGGGCTTGAGATCCCCATCAGAGAAGTATGTATTGTGTTTGTGTTTGCAAAAGCTGTGCGGGAAATTGACTGTTTTCTATCGGGTATCAACGAATAGATGGGAAGACGGAGTGCAGAACTCGGTCTTCCGGCAGAGGCTAATAGGCATCTAGCCATGGACGGCCTGCCCGGAGGGGTGGTGGGAAGGCCGGTAGATGCAGGACCTAGAACGCCAGGCGGCTCAGTAATGTTTTCTTTCTCCCTAGTCGGATATATACTTCACGGCAGCTGCGGCTGCCAATGAGGTCTCATCGGGAGGCAGCTCCCAGGGGGCCAGCGCCCACAATTCTCCTCAGACACCCCCGGGCCGGGACCCTCCAGTGCTTCCTTCTTCCCTGGGCGAAGGTGAGGCCTGCTTTTCACAGTCCTGTTACCACAAAGAGACCTTTCTAAGATCCATTCTGGTGTCTCCAGCACAGTGGTTCCTAACCTTCCTAATACCGCGACCCTTTCGTACAGTTCCTCATGTGGTGGCGACCCCCCCAACCATAAAATTGTTTTTGTTGCTACTTCATCACTGGCATTTTGCTACTGTGATGAATCGTCATGGAAATATCTGATAGGCAGGATGTATTTTCATGGCTACAAATTGAACATCATTAAAGCACAGTGATGAATCACAAGAACAATATGTAATTACATATTGTGAAATATTTCTTTCTAATGACAAATAAATAAAATGTTGTCTTGAAGCCTGGCGTAGCCTGGATAACAGTCTTCAGGCAGGGTCCTCATATGTGGGCCTATCTGCATGTGGGCGACCCGCCTGGAGCCGGATAGAGGAGCGGTGTCTTGGTTCCTAAGACCATCGAAATGTGTGTTTTCCAATTGTTGTAGGCGACCCCTGTGAAAGGGTTGTTTGACTCGCAAAGGGGTCACGACCCACAGGTTGAGAACCACTGCTCTAGCACATTACCAATTACAATCACTGCCTAAAGTCATTGGAAACCATTAAACAATTTTTTTTGCCAGCTTAAGAGACCTTTGTAATGACGTTTTCCATTCCAATGTGAAAAATTATTTGAATGGGGAGAAAGTACTTCAAGGCTAAGAATGTCTGACCTGTGAAAGCCAAGTGATTGTTCCTCCTTGAATGGATTTGTACAAGGGGAGCCCTGCTCCCTGCAAGGTCAGCAGTCAGAACCCACCGGCCGGTCCTCTGCAGCCAGGTGAGGTGCCGTCTGGGAAACCCACAGGGGCAGTGCCACCCTGCCCTCTCGGGTCGCTCCGAGTCAGGACCGACTCGATGGCAGTGACTTTGTTTGGAGTGGGTTTTCCTCGCTGCAAGCAGAGAGAGAGGCGCCAACCATCACTGCACACACCAGCCTTTCACTCGACCTGCCTTTGCCCAAGCCCCCAAGGCCTTTCACGTGGTCACGGTGCTCCTCAGAACGGCTCACCCCGCCCATCAGTGCTCCCAGCGCCCCGGAAAGGGGGCAGCTGTGTGCCCGGGTTTGCTGCAGCTTTGTGCTCCGGACAGCCGGCGCCTTTGTGCTCACCTCCACGTGGAAACCAATGCCGGGGAAGCCCAGGCACTGTGGCCACTGTGCAACGAGACTCAGAAGGACAGTGCATGACATCGAGTCCAGCACCACCACCCTGCGGAGGAACCAGAAAGTCAGTCTCCTGAACCGCATCAACTTTGCTTAAAACACTGATGTTTGTTTGTTTGTTTCTAAATTCTTTTTCAGGTGAAATTCAGTCCAAAAATCTGTACAAGATTCCACTCAGAAACCTGGTCGGCAGAAGCATTGAGCGGCCTCTGAAATCGCCCTTAGTCTCCAAGGTCATCACTCCCCCCACTTCCATCAGCGTCGGCCTCACCGCCTTTCCGGTCGCTCATTCCCTGTCGCTGTCTCGCATGGAGATTAAGGAAATAGCCAGCAGGACCCGCAGGGAACTTCTGGGTAATCGCTCTTTGTACTTTCACTGTCTTTAAAGATATCCTTGGACATTTGTCATCCTCAAAGACAATGAGTTTGTAAGGAAACTTTTTCATAAGTAACCGATAGTGCATCTGCAGCAAGGGGTGCTGTGGTTTGCCCACCAACAGTGATGTACTGATCTGTACTGTGCTGGTACAGGAAGCTGCCCGACCACTTTTTGTTTTGTTTTGTGGGGGCAAAATTACAAAACTGCACATATAAAAATGTTATATATGTCTAATGCGATATAATTCTTTAAAGTATCAGCATACACTTGACCTTCACTCTTCTGTGTAAGCAATAGCTAGTGATGCCAGGAATTGTCAGATAGAATTTTGCAAGGTCATTGACCTACTCATTAGCAATATCTTTTTTCAACAACAGAAGTAGCAACTGTACCCATGGACATGGACATGGAATACACCGGAAGCAAACGGACTGCTTCTGTGGGAGAAGCCCAGTATCATCAGTTCCAACAAAGGCAAGAATCAACCGCAGGACACACCATAAATTGCTCATATGCAAGTTGAAGTCGAC